TATTTGTCTATACCCCATGTTATTTTTTGCACTTCACTTAGCAGCTGATACAATACGTATTATTGGTTTGTCTGACTGTTCCTATTCTAGCCTGTTAGAATGTAAGCACCGTGAATGTAAGCTTAGAGCTGTGCCTACATTTCTTAAATGAATTATCCATTTTTTTCATATTTATCTGTTAAGGGTCCCTTTCCTAAAGTCTCTGAATTTACTCCAGGTAGGGAAGATGTTTGAAATTTTTTTCCCCCATCTGATAGGGTTTTGTGGCATAAGCACATAAGTATCTCCCTTGTTTGGTGTTATTCAGAGAGTTTCACTTAATATGAAAAGGGAGTAGGAAGGAGAAATAGTATAGCATAAACTGATATTAGACACTTTGCTTGCTTTCAGGTATTCATAATCTAAAGTCAATATATGGGCAGTATTTGATTATATACATAATTCCTTTTTAATTAGCATATCTTCATAGTTCTGATCATGGGTACCATGTTCTCAAAGGCATTAATGAATTTGGGGTTACATGGAAATACATATGACTATTGGTATCTCATACAATATTGGACTCTGGTTTAGGAATCCCCTTTGAACTACTGTCTTTATGTTACATTCAAATATATGGGACAGAATGGAAAATGTGCAATGTAATTTAGCTCAAGAAAATGATACTTGCTTTTAAAGAACAATTTAAGTGGAAGAAATTTTATATTTTTGGTCTATACATTTACAACATTCCTTTGTGTGTGTGTGTGTGTGTGTGTGTGTGTGTGTGTGTGTGTGTTTAATCAAATCTCATTTTCCAAGCAGCTTTGTGGGTAGCCCCTCTGAAGAACCACATCTCTGTGCAGCTCCGATGAAGGGATCTTTGGGTCTCTTAGGGCATGATTTATGTCATTGAACTCCCTGGCATGGGCTTTTGAGAGGAATAAAAGTCTATACTCATGCTGTAGAATAAGATGCTGTTTCGTGTGGCACTGAAGGAAAAGCTTTTGACAAAAAAAAAAAAAAAAGAAAAAAGAATTTTCAGATGCTAAGATTCTTGTTGTCCTAATGGTCTCTGCCATGAATATTGTAAACCGAGTTGGGGCAGGAAATCCAGCAAGGCCAGAGGAAACCACATAGCAGCTTTTGAGAGTTTTATCTCTGACTTAAGTTATCAAATTTCTGAGTGAATCTAATAGATAGGGCCCTGGTTTTCTCAGGGTGATTACAATAAATGATCCATAGCATCTCTTCCAGCTCTAGTCTCAGGTCGCTGTTATGAAGGAAGGTGGGCTACATTTGCTTGGGGAAAACCAGTGAAATATTAGAGGTAAAGAGAAAATGATTTCAAGGTTACAAAAGAGCAATCGCGAGACGAATACAATGAAATGTTAAATAGAACTCAGGAGAGGTATTAAACATCAACCTGCTGGTCTTTGTAGGGTTACCTATTACAGCTCTCTATTCTCCCGTCCTCAGTGAGGAAGGAAAGGAATGAGCTTCCCAGGAAGGCTATGGAAATGCCTTCCCAAAGGGAAAACGATGGACATCTTTCAGATTTGGATGCTCTGGATAGATTTGGCCTGGAAGCAGATGGCTTAACTTGCCAAATACTCTAGGTTTCCCATGCATTAGCCACTGAGGATTTATGTCTATAGCATCCCTATGCTTATAGCAGGAAGACTGTCATTCAGTCTGTGTTGCATAATCACTTGCTAATTTGCCTGGTGGTGGAACACATGGTGTCATCCTGGGACTTGCTGAACTGTAAAGGGTACTATGCTATTTTCTTGGACGTGCACTATAGAGAAGCAATTTGGGTGTCACCTGCTACTTTATTCTGATATATATATATAACATTTGGACTTGAAAATGGCTTTCCTTCTCCTGGTTGGGGTATCTTCAAAGGTTTGGCCATTGATATGTGCAAAGTGTGTCCTCCGCTGCTTGCTTTTCTGTGGAAAAGCGTGCTGTGACGAAAAGACTGCGGACTTGACCTTTCTATGCTACCGATTTCTTCTTATAATGTGAAAATGCTTTGTAATAAAGAACCATTCTGTTAACTGAGCAGTTCACACATTGCCACCTAGACAAGCGCCTTTCTGCACAAGGTTTGGGCAGAGGAAATCCATCTCCACATGCCTGTGGCTCCTCAGCGACTCAAACCTGGGCATCCTTACAGCAGAAGCCTCTTGGCTGAACTTAACGGTAATGACATGCATGCATCTGAATGATCACCACAAGCAAGAGACACACACACATCCCCGTAGGAGAAAGTCGGTGCCCATAATGGCTCTGAAGAAGATTGGGCACACTCCATTTCTCCCCCCTCTCCCCCCAGGCTATGCCGAAGCGAACCCATATCAGTGACAACAACGTTCTGACCTGTGTGAGTCCTGTAAGGGTTTTACGCTGCATCACTTCACATGCACACCCAGCTTTTACCTTCAAAATGAATGCAGTTCTACTTACATTCGCAGCATCCCTTCTTGATTGCCTGTCTGTGGGAACCAGCTCCTGCAAGCCCCTTTGCTTCTATAGCTGAACAAAATAGAGAATGACCTTTTTTCTTTCTCATCCAAATACAAAGGAAGTTTGCTTACATGAGTGGGTGTGAGAGCAGCATGACAAGCATGAGTTTAGGACTTTGGGGCCTCTGAGCACGGGTCTTGGAAAGAGCATCCCCGGTTTCAGTAAAAGTGTTCTGAGTGGCCAGGTGCTTCTGTGACATAAATGCCTTCTCTGGAGGGTTGTGGAGAGAGCCAGGGAGAAACTGCACGGGGCTGTGGCATTGGTGTCATGAATACCTCTGCCTCTCTGAACCCGTGCCTGTATCCTTTTTGAGACCTTCCGTGCCCTGCACTGAAACCAGTGGATAAAGTAGATAGGATAGTGTAGACTGAGTTTCTCAAAATATACTCCTCGGATCACTTTCATTGAACCACAGGGACATTTTTGCTCCAGACCACACAAATCAGAACAGCTATGAGTAGGGCTTGAGAATCTTTACTTCAAAGAGTTGTCCCCCCCCCCTTTTTTTTGGGACACAAATATTGTGAATTATTGGTCCAAGGTTATACTTAATGGAGGAAAGTTAGTTCCCTTTATATTCTGACTTCCACTGTGTATTATTAATAGCACACAAATAAAATTGGTCTTTTTTACAGCTATCAGTATTCAAATATTTCTCCAATGGCGAGTTTTCTGAGATGTCCTTACGCACGTTCTTTCTTTCATGACTGCTTCTGAGTTTGGTCATGTTTTGCCATCTCTTTGGAGCTCTGAGCTAGCAACAAGATTATTTTTACCAGGGGTGAACTTGCTGTACAGGCTCAGATAACCTTCCTTTCATTCCCCCTGTAGAGCCTACCACGTGCCCAGTCTCAAAAGGAACTTTCCCAGCTTGCATTCTGGGTGAAGTAGCATGATACAGCAATTTGGTGCACTGGCTTTGAAATCAGAGAAACTGACTTTAAATTCTGGTTCTGCCACTTACTATATGTGTGACTCTGGGTAAGTTTCTTTATCTCAAAGAGATGTGAGTATGTAATGAGATACAGTATACAAGTACACATATGAAGTATTTAACTTAATGCTCAACACATAGAAACACTCCATAGATGATAGTTCCTGTGAGGTGGTGTTGTTGCTATTATTAATTATTGTCAGTTCTTTTGTGTTTGCTCAAGAAATAAATAGGTTTCTCTAATATCCAAAGAAAATTACTTCCCAAGTTTTGTCATGTTCTGGGATTCAATCATCTGGTACCCAGAAGTGTAGCTGAAAAGTCAGTAATGTCCCCTTCCCTATAGCAGCTCTCAACCACAGAGTGCTGTATGCAGAGCATCACTGAAAATGTGCTATCAGCCATCGGTCTTCCCTTTGTTTGCTGGGGGAAGGGCTGCCCTGTTCAATTGTATACTTTGTCGGAGAAACTGGGGCACTAATGCAATTGCTCACTCTGGGATGCTGAACTATTTTGAAGTATTCTTTCTAATTGACTTGAGGCAAATTGTGAAGTAGTCATTTGTCTCTGTCACTTCAGTCCTTCCTCCTCTCTGGACTCCACTCCTTCTTCCTCTTCATCCTTCTGTCAGTGAATGTCTCCTACTTTATATCCTAGATGAGCTGAAAATGACTTAAAAAGTGGTCCCTTCTGGGTACATTTGTGCTTTAGAGGATGCTAAAGAATTAAATGATTTTCTAAGATAGTGTTTCAAACATTTCAGTATTCAGGCTAGTTGGAGAGAAGTTTGGACTGGACAGTTATCCTGGTAAACCTTCAGTTCAAACTCCCTTCTCAGCTGGTTCTCACCTGAAAAAACAGCATCACTGAAACAGAGGAAAATCTATTCCAGCATTTTCCAAGGTGTGTTCCATGGGAGGTTAGTTTGTCTAACTATTATCTAATATTTTTAAGAAACTCTGTAAATGACAATATTAAAGGGTTTCCTTGCTGTAGAGATTCTCAAAACCTTTAACATATTCAGGTTAAAAGAGGTACTTTGAATTTCCAAGGGTACATTTAGGATGCAGCATTTTCTATCTTATTTGATTATTTATCTTCCTCTTTTAATTTTTTATGAAGCAACTTCAACATTTATGTGACACAGAACATACTTGCCAGCTCTCTAGGACAATGAGTAAACTGAGACAGGGAGCAATAAAGTGAAGTGCTCAAGGTTGCCTACAGAACTGGTTGCAGTCAGGACTAAAAACCAGGCTCACTGACTCCACAACATGGTCAAAAATCCTACTTGCAGTCACAGATGTAACATCTGTCTTCTCTGCTGAATTGTGTGTACTGCCAAAACAGGAATGTTCCCTCTTCTGCTCACCACTGGACCCATAGCATCTAGCACAGTACCTGACACTCAGCAGTTGGACCAGTACTTATTAAAACTGAATTGAGATTGTTCATGGGGATAGACATGTGGTGTCTGTTCTATCCATTGCTTCCCCACTCCCCAGCCTGCTCCCTACTATAGTGGTGTGTATAAAGGGGTAAGTTACATACTTACACTGAGAATATGTGGTCCCAGTTCCGCTGACACTGAACCTGTTGAGGTGCAGTCTGTGTGTGACCACATTCTTCTGGGGTTGGAACAGCACGATGTGCACCTTGGGTGCAAACAAACAGCCCAGGACCACGAAGCCGCTTAGGCTAACGGATATGCACATGGTAGTTGTCTGCACCTGTAAGAATAAGTTGCCTGGTTAAGCATCTGGCTGTAAATTCAATCAGGGGCCCAAGTAAAAAGAGCACTGAAAAAAATACCAAATTTAAAAATTTCCAATCATCCACAGTTCTGTTCTTATTATGGACAAACCAACGCAATAATTATATTTTAAATCTTCCAAGTTTGAGATGTTCATGGAAACATTGCTTGGATTTGTAAGCACACACTATTTGCGTTGGCTGCTCCTGAATGCTTGCCAAGACTTCACATTGATTTTCATATCTTGCTTGTTTTTTCTTTATATTTGTATGAAGATATTTCTGCAGAACCACTGAATGCAGAATCTTAAGTAGTAAAATGCCAATAGTCAATGATGAACTGACAAGCTTGTGATGGTGTCAGTCAATCAGCTTGGTTTCACTGATTAGAAACACATTTGGGCCTTTTACATTTTTCTACCTCTTCCTTGCTGAGAGCTCTTCCTATTAGCTAGTGGTTTTACTAGTCAATATTGGGGGACACTATCAACTTTCTTCCAGGGTACCTCTTTTTTAATTCACTGACATCTCTTTGGAATTTTGATACATCACATTTTTTGTTCTCCAGGCCAGTGGTCGGCAAACTCATTAGTCAGCAGAGCCAAATACCAACAGTACAACGATTGAAATTTCTTCTGAGAATCAAATTTTTTAAACTTAAACTTCTTCTAATGCCACTTCCTCAAAATAGACTTGCCTAGGCCGTGGTATTTTGTGGAAGAGCCACACCTAAGGGGCCAAAGAGCCGCATGTGGCTCGCGAGCTGCAGTTTGCTGACCAGGGTTCTAGGCTTCTATATACCCATCCTTTCTCCCTCTTTGCTTCCCTGAAAATATACATCAGAACTAGGTTTTAGCATTTCTTCTTTTCATGTTCTCCTTCTTCATCTCTGATTTCATCATTTGTTCTGGCTTCAGGTTCCATAGGGTTTTTGAAAAATCCCAAACTAGATTCTGTATATTTTATTAGTTTTTATACTAAAAAATGGAAATTATTTCTTATATAAATTTCTACTCAGAGTAGCTATGATAAATCCTGGAGTAATTTTAGATTTCTTTTTCATTTTCCCACCAGACAATGCTATTATCAGATAGCATAATTTCTTATGACTTAAAGTTTCCAACTTTCTTCTTTAATAAAGGAAAGCCAAATACTGAATAATTAACTGGAGAAGCCACATACTTTTAGAAGGCTTCATTCTGTTTTTGATAAAGAAAAATACTCAGGTTACATTTGTAGCATAATTCTTCAGACTCTAGTTTTACTTTAAAGGATGCAAACATAATTCATTCTTAGTATCTTAAAGCACTTGTCTCCCTTAACCAGTCCAGTGACCTCCAACTTGGCCAAAAATTGCAAGGTCTTTTCTCTTTTGTCAACTCTTTAGGAAAGACTCTACCATCTAATTTCATAATGTAAAAGCCTTGAAAAATAATATCTGTGTTATTTACAGTGAGTTCAATTCCTAGCACAATTTGTTTTTTACATATATGTATAATATTATATTAGAACTGCACTCTTCCTGCCTTGGTTTTGACTTTGGAGTCAATATGAGAGAGGGAAGATATTATAATAAGTGTAATATGCATTCAAATGTGCAAATTTCCATGCATTTCTATAACTTTGAAACTCCTGATACACATTAAGACATTACAAGGAGACAAGAGAAGAGGCTTTCATGAGGAAAATATCCTGGAAAAAGCTGTGCTGTGTGTCCTATACTCTCCAATCCCTTAGAGGGCTGTGCCTCTCTCCTCACTTAACTTCTAGAGAGCAGTGCTTCACTGCCATTTCACAGAAGGGTTGAGGTTTTCTGCAAGAGGAGAATGCCCTGGCCTGTGGCCTGATTCCTGACATGGAAATCTAGAAAGTGAGCAGAGGCTAATTACTCTGTGGCGGAGCAAAGACACTTGCTACCGTACTGAAATAGCTCTTTACAGAGTTATCACAGGAAAGGATTTGTGAGAAAGACAGGCCATGCTATCTATAAAAAGTTGCCATGAGTAGCCTTGCTCACGTGGAGCAGCCTGGAGTATTCCCAGAGAGAAGTTGGAGGGGCACATTCATAGCTGGGTGTCCTGGGACGGAGCCAAGAGCCACAAGAGGAAACTCAGAATAGAAAATTGTCAGCCAGCTCACTGGAGGTTCTGCAGGGGGGGAGGGCCAATGCGGGACTTCTGAAGATCACAGGAAAACACCCTTTAATCATCTCCCAGGTATTCTGAGGACATGTCTTTAACTACTGTGGACTTCAAGATCATAGAGCCATCCAGCCACATAAGAACTGTCCTACTTCTTCCTTATTCCTCTTTAACCAGGGCTGAGAGGGAAATGGCGACTGGTGGATTGGGCAGTGTGAGCAGGAGAAAGGAGAAGCCAACTACATGGCAGACCAGACCTCAGGAGGAATGAGATTTAATGGTAAGTTAAGATATAATTTTGATAATTACATAGAACTAGGCATTTAAAACTTCCACTGAAAATGATAGTAGGACCCTATGATTCCCAAGAGCACAAACATTCATAGGCCTACCATGGCTGTCAGTGCTTTCATGCATTGCTCCATCCCCAGCACCAGAATGGTACTCACATATGGTGACACTCAGTGTTTGAATGTGTCCATTGGACTTCATGCAGGGCTAGGGATGATTGCTTTCAGAAATACTAATGGGGCAATTGGAGGCAGTACTAAAATTGCATTTTGGTCCCAGTTTATGCAGCAAAATAATTCAATATACCTGTTGTAAATCTGACATCTTTTAATATTTATACAAAGGCTAGGTATTAGCTTTATAGTTTTAGTTGTCCATTTCTTCAATAAGTCACACTGTTAAAAGCCTGTATTCATGTATAATTCTGTGTTCTGTCTCTTTTTGTACTTCAGGCTGCCCTGTTTTCATCTGCATCACACTCCTAGCAACACTTGAGATGGTTAATCTCTCCCTTCTTTTTGGTTTCCTGGATACATCCTTCCCTCACTGACTGGTCCTTGTCTTATTTGTCTTGGATTTTTCTCTCCTAATTGAACTTTAAGTGCTGGAGTGTCTTATACCTCAATTTTAGACTCCCCTCTTCACCTTCTCATCAATTTTCATGGCTTAAGTAACTTCTATGTTGATGATGTTCAGGTATTTATTACTGGATTCACCCTTCTTCTGGGCATCCAGACTTATGTATCTAACTTCCATATTGGCATGTTGTTTTGCATATATAATATATATCAGAATTATTCTGCAAGCAAAACTTGATGCATTCCTTCAAGTGTCTCCATTCGAGTAATTGGTTTCCAATGTGCGAAACAAAAACCTGGGATGACTCCTTGTCATCCTTGATTTTGCTATTTTCTTTACTCCCACACATCCAATCCAACAGCAAGTTCTGTTGTTTTTTTCAGAAGCTATTTATGTCCTTTTGTGCTTCTACATGTCTTTCAAAAAGAGACCCTACTGTCTTTGTTTGGGACTTTCTTTTCAAGGATATTTGTATAGCAAATAGTCTTAGAAAATACAGTACCTACCTGTGGAGCAAAGAGTTGAACAATATATATATATATATATATATATATATATATATATATATATGCAACTGTTCGACCATTCAACTGTAGCTATGATGCACACTGACCACCAGGGGGCAGATGCTCAATGCACAGGCATGGAAACCTGGAACAGACTGATGATTCTCAAAGGGAAGGAGGAAGAGCAGGAAGAGATAAACCAAAGATCTTATATGCATACTAGAGGCCTAGTGCATGGATTTGTGCACCAGTAGGGTCCCTTGGTCTGGCCTGCAGAGATCAGGCTGAAATCGGCAGTCTGACATCCCCTGAGGGATCCTGAATTGCAAGAGGGTGCATGCCAGGTTGAAGGATCCCACCAGTGCACGAATCCATGCACCGGGCCTCTAGTCTGTTATAAAAGATCCAGGTTCCCTAATGTCTTAGTTCCTTCCTTAGTTCCTTCCTAGTGCAACCACTGACTGTGCAGCCATGACCCTGCCTAGTCGGCATGGCCTGTGGGAAGTGGAGCTCAGGAAACCAGAGCCAGTGCTGACACTCTGGATGTTGTTATTGCTTTGAGTCACAAAGCTGTTTTTGACAGAATCAACAAAACTGTGTCAGGCTAACATGTTACCTGGTAAGTATAGTAGAATCTCAGACTCTGCAGTCTTTGACAGTTTTAGAAATGAGACTAGAATGGCTTTTTCAAAGAGGAAGGATGAGGGCCTTATGGGCTGATGAATAGGATTTGAGAAAAGTCCATGGGAATCAGTAGCAAGCATGTGGACCAAATTGAATAGTAATCACCTATTTAATAAGCAGTGATTCACCTTACTGCCTATTAATGAGGAAGATTTGGGAAGGGGGTCAAGGCTGAGTAACAGAGGCAGGTTCAGATAGGGTTAGCTGGACTTGTGCTGTGTTGTTGTTCATTTTCCTCTGGGGGTGGGAGTTGAGTGGGGTGAATTTCCAAACTGATTCAGCTCTGTCCAATTCTAATAACTAGCATCAAAATTTTTCTTGGTGGGCAGAGAGTTGTGCTTCTCTTTACATAAAAGTTTCAGAGACATGCACCTACACTGGGCATGAGAAGAGGGCCCTTCAGAGAAGGCAGAAACCAGGTGAACTGTTTGAACTTTGGTTCCCTTTGGAACATGAGGGCGCAGGGAGCATAGTGCTTATTAAGGAAGAATGACAGCAGCTGAGCTCTCTTAGTGCTTGTCCCCCGCTGAGGTCTCTCATGCCAGATTTAGATCCATTGCACTGAGGTCTCTCATGCCAAATTTAGATTCATTGCAAGATGACAAGGTCTCAGTTGTTTTATTTTGCAGCAGGACCTGGCTGCAAAAAAAATGAGCTTCAGTGCTCTGTGAGATTTTTCTGAGATAAAAAAAAAAATGCTCAGAAGCCACAGATAATGCATTCACTAATATCTGGACTCTTGCTGACCTGGATTATGTTTAAAATACTGACAAAGTG